TAAATACAAGCTTAATATCAACCAAAAGGTTAAAAGAATGTGGTCTCAAAGATCCTTTTTATGCATCCTTATATAAGACCAAAGTGCGAAGTGGATTTTGATTGGATGGTTATAAGTGGATGTCATGCCCAGGGCGGGTTTTAATTTCAATTGATGCACATATTGTAGCATGCGTAATGAAGAGAGGAGTTGCACGAGCATGATCGATGTCAAAACAGTATCCAGATTTCATAGTTTAGATGTAACTCTAATACCTAAATGGAATGCCAGTACAAAATTTATGTAGGCATGGAAGTGACATTTTATAGTAAGTTGTGTGCTCAGGGATAAGTGGCTATTGTGATCTCCCTCCCCCTTTCCCCTTCCTTTCGTTTACAGTGGTAGGGACTATGTGAAAGGCTGTATCATGTATATAATTAAGTTACTTTCCTTTTTTTTTTTTAATGGTTAGGGTGTCAGAGATAGATTTTTGTTCATGTGATTTTAAAGATATATTATCCACATCGGCTTGATACTTTTAAGAGAATTATATTTTTTGTATACTAACCTCAAGATTTGAACTATGAAGGTAGTCAACAAAACATTAAATTGTTAATTGTTGGTTTATTAATTAATAGATATAGGAAATTTCAATTCAAATTTCATATACTATTGGATTTTGGTAAACTCTCCCATCACATGGATAACCTTATTAGCTTTTAATAGAAACAGAAATTTTAAGTCATCTGTTGCTAGATTATGATTTTGTATTACCTAGGATCAAAAAAAGAAACACATAAATCATCATTTGTGAGACTTCAAGCATGCAGAATAATTAATAATGTGAGCATGCTCTTATTAAAGTTAGGAAGAAAAGAGAAAATTAGGATGTTCTAATATTAATATTAAGATATTTAATCATAGTTATTAAATATATGTGGACCATATCATAACTTGATTTTAACTGGATATTTATTACTCAAAGCTTCAAATAAAATTCATTTTCTATAAATTTGATTTTAAAGCTTCAATGAAAAAATGGAAAATTAATTGGGTAAAAAAAAAAAAAAAAAAACTGGACTTGGTTGCCGAGATTTAAGACTTTGAAATTGTGAATTGCAGGACCAAATTGATGAAATAAGAAGACCAGGGATTGAGTTAATGTGTGTACAGAAGATGAGGATTTAATGAAAAATCCATGAAACGGCGTCGCTTAACCTTGGCTGAATAAAACAACCCTAACTTCCCACAAGTCCTGTCTCCGAAAGTCAACTGCCTCTTCTCTCGATTCTCTCTTGATTTAATCTCAAATTCCACTTGAGTTTGGTTGAATCACGACATCAAATGTAGAGATTTTCGGAGCCAAGGTCAGCCAATCGAGGGAATTAGATAGGGCCTATTGCAAGGAAGAAGAGTCTGAATTCGATTTGGAATAGAACTCTAATGCACAAAGGTATGAATTTGACATTAAAAGAAGAAGTTATACAGATTCCTAGTTGGGTTTTGGGATTTCAATTCCGAATAAGATTGGATTTTATCTGTAATTTGATATTAGGATTTGAGAATAGTGTGAAGGGTTTGGGTTTCTTTTTCTTTCTAGTATAGAAGGGGTCCGACCAATGGAGAAAGGGAGGCAGAAAGTTTGAGAAAAAATTGATAGGAAAAGAGAGTAGAGAATTAAGTTCAAAGAGAAAAGTAGATGAGAAACAGAGAGTGTTGGAGCTTGTACCGAACAATTATTTCTTTGGAATAAAATTTCAGATTTTTATTTAACAGCTGAGTTCTCTTTGAATTAGTAGTTTTTGTGTTTGGAAGAGGGCATGAAAGTCTGACATTTTCCTCACGGAAAATCACACTCAAGCCTATTTCTCCCTCTCATGATCTTCTTTTCTGTTCTAATATAATTTTCTTGTGAATCGTTTGGTATATTGCTATTTCATAGTTTTTTTTTTTTTTTTCTTGTAAATAAAACCGTGACCAGACCATGAAGCAAATTTTGGAATTGCATTTTTGTGAGATTATTATCATTCTGAGATTATTTTATTGGGTTGTTGAAATTATGTTAATATACGGGATTATTGGTTTTTGATGTATGAATGAGTATTAGGGAGTGTATGGAATTTCATGGGATTTGATAGCTTGCAATAAAATTTGAAGTCTGAAGTAGTTTTGTCCTGGTGTTATATATTTTGGTTTTCAATGCTGTCCGAGATGAAAATTTCAACTTTGACAGTATAAACCGGCTTAATTCAATTTTTAGTCTATTAACTATCATTTTGATTTCATTTTAGTCTAGAAACTATGTTTTATTTCTAAGTGATCTATTAACTTTCAGATTCATTTCAATTTCATCTATCTGGTTATCTTTGACGAAAAACTTACTATTCTGTTAGAAAATAGTTAGTCCTCTAACTATATTTATTTTGATTTTTTAGTCCTCAAATTTATATTTATTGTAAAAACAACTTTTATACTTAAAATTATTATTTCTAGGCTTTGATATCGAATTTTTATTCAGGTTTTTCTCATTTCTTTAATTCTTCTTAGGGTATTTTCATTAATTGTTTCTATTTTTAAAATATTATCAGTTATTCATTAGTTAGTAGTAGTCTGAATTAAGTTCTGAAAACCCGAATAAAAATTTGGTATCAGAGCATATAAATAATAATTTTAAGTATAAAAACTGTTTTTACAGCAAATATAAATTTGAGGACTAAAAGATCAAAACAAATATAGTTAGAGGACTAACTGTTCTCTAACAGAATAGTAAGTTTTCCGTCAAAGATAACCAGGTAGACGAAATTGAAATAAATCCGAAAGTTAATAGACCACTTAGAAATAAAACATAGTTTCTAGACTAAAATGAAATCAAGGTGATAGTTAATAGATTAAAAATTGAATTAACCCGTATAAACCTGGGGCGTTGAAATAAAGAATGAAACATGTTATAATGGCCATGTTTAATTTTCTAGGATATTTATGGTTTGTTGTTTTGTGGGTTCGAAGGTTTGTTAAGGTATTATTTGGATGAATTTAGAGGGAAATAGACTGTAGGAGAAACCTAAAAAAATAAAAGCCTATACTTCATTAATAATAGTTTGCTATGCTTCACTTGATCTGGTTGATGAATAAAGTGTTAATCCAAAATTGAAAAGCAGAATTTGTTCCTGTTTATCTGGCTCCTAATGTTTGTCTTGATATGGTAAAAATTGGACAATGATTAAGGAACATTTTTTTTAAGAAGATCATAAGAAATAATGGAAGAAACATATCTAGCTGATTATTCTTTCGTCTTTAATTATAGAAAAATAGCAAAATGCTCTTCTAATTAAAGTGGATTTTTTTGCTCCTTGTGTAAATAAATCAAAGGTACCCCAATTTTAAAATATGTAGTAACTATATTTTATATCCCACAATCAATGCAGACTTAGGTGATCCGTCAACAAGTCATGACTTTATTAAAATTTATTCCGTTTGTCATTAGACTTTTTTGACATTTTTCTCATTTTCCCTGTGCCCAAAGTTATGTTATGTATCCTAAATATAGTTTGATTAAAAGTGTACTTCAGTAAAAATAAAGATTAAGATTTACTAACTACACACAGTGGTATCCCTTAGTGCATGGTAAAGATATTCAGAAGTTCTTGAATACTTACATCTTGTCAAGCAAACTGAGCGAAGTGCAGAACTCCGGGCCATTGTAGTCAATCCAATCCCAATAATTCAGCTCAAAACCCATAAGCAATTGAAAGTAAATATCCGAAGCAGAGAGGCCTGAAATATTGGATAGCATGACCGGAAACTGAGCTTCAATTCTGCATGATTCATTGAAATCAGAAAGCTTTGTTTGGTTATTGAAAAGAAAAAAGTAGGTGTGAGGAGAGGAAGGGCTATTGGTGCAATTAGAGGCATCCACATGGAGTGGTGAGCTCATCGGCATATTGCAACTTAGAACATACATAATGCTATTCCCAGTTATATTCCTAAAGGAAGGCCCATTCTTATACGGCCAACATTGAAATTTAAGAAGAGGGTAGTAGGGAATGGAACATTTATTCCTATCGAGACTGGCATCCACCAGTCGAAGTGTGCCATTATCATAAGAGATTTCCTCCACTAAGAAATTTTGGTGTGCACCAAGTTTGAGAGGCAAAGTGGTGCGATTGTTCTCGCAAACTAGTTCATACCCCAGCCAATCACATCCCTTAGGATTACTGTGTAATCGGAAAGGGTAATCTATAGTAAGGTTTCCACAGGAAGAAGGGACGCAATCAGCCATACAAGCATCAGGAAAAAGAGACAGAGCAAGGGCCATGAGGCCGAAGAGTACCACAACTTTTGCTCTAACTAACATCCTAAAGCTAGAGTATTAGAGCATGAGGTTTTCTTAGGATATAATATAGGAAAAACTCTTATGATAACAGTTACGACCCAATTAGGCCCCCCACCAAAAAAAAGCAGAAGAAGAAGAAGAAGAAGAAGAAGATAGCACCCAGGGCAAACTAGATGGCTCTCAAAGGAAATAAAGCGAACACCTAGAATCCATATTGTCTAAACTGATGGGATGACTACATAAAGAAGCCTTCAAGTTGCTGCACGGTACACGGCTGCTTTGGCTGACTTTGATTTTTAAGAGGATTGGAATAGTAGATTCACCTAACATGTCGTTTTAACTTCAATGGAAAAAGGAAGCCTAGAATTTTCTTCACATAGTTGTTACCCAGTTTGCAGCTTCCCTGAAACTTAATTGAGCGGCCAATAATCAACTGAAAACACCCAGCACAGCTAAATTTCTAATCAGAAGCTTTTAAGTAGTTTCCATCAAGTTGCGGCGTGTCTACCCCACAGCTTACACAGTTTTTTTTTTTTTTAACCAAAGTAATGGGGAGATGGGACGATAAGGGGACGATATTACAAGTGTGGGGTGGGCTCCAACTCCACAACCCACGCGCCAATCCTGGAGCAAAGTGGCGAATATTTGTGCCATAGCAGAAACTTCATAGAAGAATTAATGACAAAGGAATTCCTACTTTGAAAAGTCAAAAGTCCGCGAATCCTCCAAGGAATTCCTACTTTGAAAAGTCAAAAGTCCGCGAATCCTCCCTGCGCCTTCCAAAAACTTATGCTCATTGTATAAGGTACACAGCTTCTTCTCCCGTTCTGATAATTGTATCCTAAATCACACTGAATCTTGGATTCGAAGACTTCAGGGATGGAAAGTTTCTTCAAGATGATTCTTTTGCTTTTTTGCTTTATCTTGATAGTGAGGGTTACAGAGCTCCATGCTGCCAGAGATGAATGCCAACCCACAAAATGCAATCACGTTACCATCCGATTCCCATTCCGACTTAAGGGGCAGCAACAACCGGAAAACTGCAGCTATCCTGGATTTGAACTATCCTGCATGGATAAAAAGCAAACTGTGCTAGAGCTGTCGCGAAATGTGAAGTTTTTCGTGAAGCATATAGATTACAGAGCACAGTGGATTCAGTTATACGATCCCCAGGGATGCCTCGCGCGGCAGCTTCTCAATAATTTATCTGCATCTCCCTTCCAGGAGGACAACAGACACACAATCGGCCTTAACATCAATATTCCTCAAGAATACACAATTTTCAATTGTTCTGGCGAAGGACAAATGCCAGATAGAGATGAATATCACACAATTCCTTGCTTAAGCATCCAAGGATTCCAAGTTCTAGCTTTTCCTTCCGATTATCGTGCTGTTAGTTTGTTAAATTGCACCAGAAAGTTATTAAACATTTCGGTAACAGAAGGGTTTGAAGGCATGTTGTATAACCGGGAGAAGGATGTTCAGTTGAGTTGGTCCAAACCAAACTGTACCATATGTGAAGAGGAAGGCAGGAAATGCAAACTGAAGAAAAATAATAGTACTACAGAGGACGAGACAGAGTGTTATGGTAGATCCAAGAAACAAAGAGGTATGGTTTTAAGTTCTAACAATTCCAAATGTTATGAATGCCATCAATGCTCTCTGAGTTCATTTGTCTTCCTTTAATTTTCTAGCAGTTACTTGTTCTGTTGCTTTAAATGTTTTTTCTTTTGATTCTGAGACAAACATCTAGTTTAAAATTTTACATCCCTGGCCATTGGGCAGAACTCTGATACCTCTGTTTTGTCATATCAGATTGTAATAGATTTGTAGAACATATGAAGAATCTAACTTTTGAATCTTTTACAGATAGGCCGAAACAACTGATGGCTACAGGAATAATCCTAGGTTCCTGTCTTCTTGGAATAATTCTCTTTGCACTTCACCGCGTCAACCATTCATATAAAGCAGAGAAAGAGGGCCAAATCAAGATTGAAAATTTTTTGGAGGATTACAAAGCTCTCAAACCCTCAAGATATTCTTATGCTGATATCAAGAGAATAACAGATCAGTTCAAGGACAAACTTGGAGAAGGGGCCTATGGAACAGTTTTCAAAGGGAGACTTTCCAATGATGTTTGGGTTGCTGTTAAGGTCCTCAACAATTTCAGAGCGACTGCAGAAGAGTTCATTAATGAAGTGGGATCAATGTGTAGAATCCACCATGTCAATGTTACTCGCTTGATTGGATTTTGCGCAGATGGAAATAAAAGGGCTCTTGTTTATGAGTACATGCCAAACGAGTCCTTAGAGAAGTTCATATTTGTAGCCAGGGATGAAGATCGTTTCCTCAGTTGGGAGAAGCTTCAAGATATTGCTATAGGAATAGCCAAAGGAATTGAGTACCTACACCAAGGTTGCGACCAACAAATCCTTCATTTTGATATCAAGCCTCACAATATCTTGCTAGACCAAAACTTCAATCCAAAGATCTCTGACTTTGGTCTAGCAAAGCTATGTTCCAAGGAACAAAGTGCTATTTCTATGACAGCGGCCAGAGGAACAATGGGATATATCGCTCCTGAGGTACTGTCTAGGAATTTTGGAAAAGTGTCATATAAATCAGATGTTTATAGTTTTGGAATGTTATTGCTAGAAATGGGAGGAGGGAGGAAGAATATTGATGTCACAGTGGAGAGTACGAGCCAAGTTTACTTCCCGGAGTGGGTATATAATTGCCTGGAGAGAGGAGAATTCGGGATTAAAATAGAGAATAAGGGGCATGCCAATATAGCAAGAAGACTTACAATTGTTGGACTTTGGTGCATTCAGTGGTACCCAACAGACCGTCCATCAATGAAAGCCGTGGTTCAAATGTTAGAAGCAGAAGTTGACAAATTAACAGTGCCACCTAATCCCTTTGGCCATGTAAATGGCGTGCAGACAACAAGTGTCAATATCCCAAGGAAACCAATTAATAGAGAACTAGAAGTTATCTTTGAATGAGAATATTTGGAATGTATTCTACACATAAGTAGTTCTTTTACTTTTCCTAATGCGTCTATTCGTATAAAGTAAGGGCTTAATATTGAGTGTTGAATGTTTTATAAAAATCATTAAAGGGCTTGTATATTAACTTACTCTATATCAACCAATGTAACATGGAATGTTTTATAAGAAAGTGTTTCCCCTTTTCTTTTTTCTTGTTTCTTTTTAATCCTTCATGACCTTTTTCATGATTTTTATTTTATTAGGTTCTTATCTATTCCATTAACTGAACACACCCAAGGTGATCCAAATTTACTCTTTCAAATTAACAAAGTAACTTTTAGACTTTTGTTAGTATGATTGTAATTTTTTATTTATGATTTTAGTTAAAAGATTATTAGTAATTCTAAACCAAAATTAATTAATTTATAAAACTTGTACCTACCAATACCTAATATATTTATATATTTTTGGTCAACATAGCAATATCTAATATTAAAAATTTAATTAATTTATAAAACTTATTAATTTTATTCTATGATTTCTAAATTTTTAAAAATTAAAATCAAAAATAAAAGATAAGAACTATACTAAACGAAGATTTACTAATTAATTAACTAGGTTATAATCAACATATGTCATTTTAATGGCATCTCCAAGATTTAATAAGGAAAAAATATTAGTGACAAAAATGTTAGTGTTCTAAAAGTATGGGGGCATAAAATAAAAATCAAAAAGGCAATTTTCTAAATGGCATAACCTCCCTAGAAGCACTTTAACTGTTTGTTTTCAAGGCCATTAATCTCTTAACATACACTTTATGTATTTTAGTCAATAAATTTCATATTATTGCTATAATTGGTTTAAAATAAATGAAATCTCAACACATGAATCATGTAGCCATCTCTATTCCAATTACCCTATTCTGATCAACTCTATGCTAGCATACATATGGTCCACTTGGACCAAGGAAGTGAGAAAATTCCCATTCAAGATTAGACTATCAGTGCAATGGATGGAATTTTTCTATTTTCATGAGCCATAGTACACCATATTTATGCAAGCATGGTACTAAGGAAGATAGGGTAACAGAATGGAGGGTGGATGACAAGGTTCTCATGGGGAACCAAATTTGGGTTCTCGAGGGAAATTTTGGATTCTCAAATTCTACAGTTGAAGGATTAGTGTTTCCTTAATTTTTTTAGTCAAACCTCTAAAAAAGATTAATTGTAAGCTTGAAAGTGGAACCAAATTGAAACTTCAAGTAAAGTACCATTTAACTTTATATTTTAATTTCATGTGCTGAGGCTATCACTGAACTACTTGAACAATCTAGCTATGGATTTTTGCTGGACTGTTTTGTTGTTGGGAAATTGAAAGAAATTAGAGAGAAATCAAGAGGGTAAAGAAGGGGATGAGGTTTTAACATAAGACTAAAAAGTTGATGGAATAAGAAGGAATTTGAGCCTTTAGTAAATGTTAAGAATTATATCTTAATTGTGAGGGCAATGCATTTTGGAAGGAAAATGATTTGTATACTCTGTGCTTCAATATACCTTTTAATACTCACGTGGTTTAATTATTAAAATAAAATATAAATATAGTTTATTTAATTGATTTTTATATTTTACATGTATAATTGTATCTTTAAAATTGTTTGTCTTTTTCATTAAAGTTAAATTATAATGAGATGGTATTGTTAGATATTTTTTTAGTACATTTCAAAAGTTTAAACTCCTTACTTTAATTTTAAATTAAAACTTTTATATTAATAGATACTAATTTAACAAAACTCATATTACTAACTTTATTAGATGATGACATATTTTAATTTACTAAATTGTGTTTGTCTTATTAGAGAGGATAACACCTACATACAGATGCGTACTAGAAAACTTGAAAATTTAGTGCTCCCTTACTAATTGGTTACCTCGATTTGAATGAGAAATACTTGGGATACACGTTAGGAGGCAACTTCTTTGAGGCTTCTATAGAGAAATTTGGATCCATGAAGATGAAACAGGAAGGTCCATTACTCCAACTATGAAAGCACGTGTCCTTGGAAATTAATAAATCTGAGTTAGATGATGCGTTCGATCCCATCCCATCACCTTGTCACCCACGGCACACATTTAAAACACATTAATGAATTTGGTATACTTAACACATTAGGAAGCAACTTCATTGAAGCTTCCATTGAGAAATTTAGATCCATGAAGATGAAGGTCCACGTATCTCCTTTATGGTAATCAATAAGAAGGTCCATTAACATATCCATTTCGTTTGTAAATGGTCTATGGCTCCTCAGTGAAACCAAGTCGTCCATGGAAATTCAAGTCAGCTAATGCGTCCTTGGTAATTGTTATTTTTTTTAGTTATTTTTAATTATATTTTCTTTAATTATTCAAATAAATCTAAGAGAAATCATTTTAGAAAATAATTAATATACTATTTGATTTAATATATTTTTTGATATTTTGTCAGTTCAATTATTAAAACATAATATAAGTAAAGTTGATTTAATCATTTCATATGTCTATATGCATATTTGTATTTTTAAATTTGTTTATCCTTGATTTCAAAGTAAAAAATAATAATTTTTAATTAATGTATTATACAATGTGTTGATCAGGATAATGTATCAATTAATATCCAATTATTTTTGAAATTTAGTTAATTAATAAACCTCATGGATTGATACTTTACTTATTATTATATTATTTAGAGTGATTAATACATTTGTTAGAATAATTTTATTGCATCAAAATTGATGGAATAAAATGACATTTGAACCTTTATTTTTTTGATGGAAGCATTTCAACCCTTATTAAATGTTAAGATTTATATAATCTTAATTGTGAGGACAATGTATTTTGGAAATTAGATTAAATCCACTAATAAATAGAATGACTTTTACGTGATCATGATTTGTGATTCTAAATAAAAATAATTAATTACAAAATATCACATTACATTATACAAAATATTATACTTACAAACAATGCATGTAGCATTTTCTTCATTTTCTTCCACTATTAAAGTTAAAGTTTGATGAGGTGGCTTTGTTAGATATTTTTTTGTACATTTCAAGAGATTAAATTTTTAATCTTAATTCTAAATTAAAATTTTTATATTGATAAATATTAATTTAACCAAACTCATATGATTCACTTTATTAGATGATTCAAAATATTTTAATTTATTAAATTATCATTTTCATATTAGAGGGGATGCTAGCATTTCAAAAAAAATATTAGAGGGGATGCTATATATTAGAGGGGATGTCATGTACATATAGACTAACTAGAATTAGTGCACTTTCATTTGCTATAGTAAACTTGAAAATTTAGTGACCCCTTCTCACTCCACTAATTGGTTACCTCGATTTTGATTAAGAAATATTTGGTATACCTACACGTTAGGGACTTAGGAGGCAACTTCATTGAAGCTTCCAATGAGAAATTTGGATCCCCTTGAAGACGAAAGCAATAAGATATCCCCATCACCCTTAGCGCACCGTTGAAATACATTATTGAATGTGGATGAACCAAAAACAAATATATAGTTGAATTTAATATACTTACACATTAGAAAGCAACTTCATTGAAGCTAGCTTCCATCGAGAAATTTAGATTTATAAAGATGAAAGTCCACAAGTCTCCTTCATCGTAATCAATACGAAGCTCCATCCACATGTCCTTTTTGTTTGCAAGTCTATGGTTTTACGGTGGAAGTAAGTCGTCTATAATTAAGTCATCTATGAAAATCTAACTCAACTGACGCGTTCATTATCTCATCCCATTACCTTCAGTGTATTAATTTAATTTTTACTTCTGAAAATTGTATGTAAACGGTGTAATTACAGCTGGCTTAAACATCAATGCTATCTATCTAACCAAGTATTTTTTATCATCAATGAATTTCTTTCTTTTCTTTTTAGAAAAGCTAAGAACTTTCATTCTCTACCCTTCAAATCTTAGAAAGTCAACAAATTTGACGCATAACTATGGACAAAAACTGTATCTTTATGATTAAAAATTGTAGGTCTTGCTCCAAGGCATACACTACTGCAGGAATGTAATATTCAGACCGACCAATCGGTCCGTATATATCCCAAATCGGTCTGAACATATATATCCGGACCGATATTGGTCCTTATAGTTGATCTGAAAAAACCTGGTACGAATAAGTATAATATACAGACCGATGTATAATCGGTCCGTATATATATACTAT